CAATAGGAACGGGTTAGTCATGTCGTGGATGTGTGTGTGATATGTTATGTGGAGCTTCAAAGCGGGTTTTTTCGTCATATTTTAGTGTAAGATCCTGTTGTGTCGGTTTGGGATGGCAATTAGGCTTCGGCGTACGTAAATACCATATACCCGGAGCCCCTAGCTCACGCTTTGAGATCCAAAGGGTGGATGTTAGAAATGTCGGTACTACTGCACACATACTAGTCATCTCCTTGTGGGATTCAATTTTTCGTTATTTTGAAGCCCTACTCTGGCTCTTGCCAGGGGCCGCAATATAGCCCGGCCATAAATATGGTTCAATGGCTGAACGCGGTTTCCGGGACCTCTCCAAGGGTGATCCTCATCCACGTGGTGGCACTTTGTGTCATCGGGTGTTTATCGCTTGTGTGATGTCCTGGTGGGGTAAAATGTACTACTACTAATAAAATGTTGGTACTTGCATTCCTGCGCTCCTGTGCGAAGATTTGGCCACTACTAGTAATGCTTCCGGTGACTGCGGCTCCGTTCTTCTCCGCCACACTGTAGAACATGCTGGTGTCCTGCTGGCAATCGGCTGTCTCTGGGGTTGATCCTGAAATGAGGTTTCTGTGTACTGAATTGTGTTTACTCATTGTATGGTGCTAAGTGTCAGTACAAACTTATGAGTAACAAGGTCATATCGCGAGGAAGCACACATTCACTACATAGTAACACACATGAAAGGGAAAACAGGCAATTTGTAAGATTTTAATTCATTCCTCCTTCTTTTGTTTCTTTTTTTACTTTTTACTTTTCTCTGCTGTTTATTTATTTATTTATTTAATTATTTATTTATTCTTCTTTTCTTTATTCCTGGAATGCCTTGCGGCGTCGGGGCAGAAAGAGATCCCTGAAACGGGCTCTTCTGTTCGCTTCGTATAAAGTTTTTCTTGCTTTCTTATGTACACAGTTTGTTTTTCTTCCCTCCACGAGGCATGTGGCATATTCAGTAATTATTTCCATTATTAAAATTCTGCGTTGGTGTTTAATATATATATTTTTTTATTGTTTTTAAAAGCTGTCAAGAGTCACAGTCGCTTATTGGTTGGACGCATAATTAGTCGCCACAAGGTTATGTGTTTAAGTCCGCATTTAGAGTTATTTTTACAAAATGTAGCTTTGTTCTCAGGTAGCATAAAATAATGCCAGAAAAAATTCTGAGATGTACAAGCAAACTGTATGCTGTTCACATCAACCTATAGATTGCTGTTTGATGTATAACAGTAGGGATGTCGCAGTAATTGCAGATGCACAAATTATGTGAAAGGAATAAATTATATTTAGCTTTCAAAGACCTGTTTATTTTAGTTCTCACCACAATGCCTTCTGGTAGGTGAATAAGTACCTAGTTACTTGGATACAGACGAAGATAAGTCAAGCGCATTTGAGTCCTGCTTGCTGCCGTAATCTTTTTCTCTATGTGCAGCTAATGTGCACGCCGCAACAAATAATCATCACGCTCTTTGCCTTAAACACCCGCATGGCCCGGCATTGTGATAAGGGTTGGGCGAGTTATTCCTGATGCATTTGATGACAGAATCTATTCATTTCTAATGTAGTCGGCCTTCTGGATTTTCTTGAGTATATTAATTGAATCACTCAGTATGCACGCATGTGTGAATTCTTGTGAACTCAGCCCTGTCATGGCAATGTCTTTGTTGCAGCCATCGTCTCTTCGTGCTCAGACACACATGCAAACACACACACACACACATATATATATATATATATATATATATATATATATATATATATATATATATATATACATATATATATATATATCATATTATATATATATATATATATATATATATATATACACACACACATGCATACACACTCACACATTCTCTCTCTCTCTCTCTCTATCTATCTATCTATCTATTCCCCCCCCCCCCCCACCACACAAACACACACACACACACAACAAACACCTACACTGAAATCGTTTCTAGTGCTACTAAGTTCGTGAGTTAAGGCAAAGTCGACCTACGTGTAGTTCAAAAGAATGTTAGAATTAATAGATAAGTGTACATTGTGATGCAGATGTATCCTGAAACAATACCAATGAATCATCTCGGCAGCATGAACATGACAGTAAGTGGAGAAGTTGCAGCATAGGTGTATCAGAGATGACTAGACTTACCTGAAGGCGTTGAGGCTGTCCCCGACACTGAACTAACATTGTAAGTGGGTTGCACTTGTGGATCTCCCAGTGGTTTAGGGAGAGGAACTGGAGAATTTAGAAACATATAGTAGATAATTTGTGGGAATCAACTGCCTTAAATATTCCTGCATTTCTGTTATATGTGCTTTTTACATTCCAGGCCTAGGGTTAGAGTAACTTCCCTTGCCATTCATGCCTCCTTAAGTTGCTGGGTCACTATTATGTTGCGGGGGAGTCATATTTTCCTTATCTTGAACGGTGTGACCGTTGCCTCTCTTTTCTTGTGCTTTCACCGCTCGCTTGCGTGATTATTTTCACGTTCTGCTACCAGCGCGACGTTTCGGGAGTATGGAAACAGAGATATTTTTTTTTTCTATTCCCACGCTCCATGTAACTGCTTTCTTCCTCTCGGGGGAGGGGGGGGGGGGTTGCACGGCCAACGGACGTAGAAACACAAAAACGTTTCGGTAGCTAACAATCCTGTGCCTGGAAAAGTAAACAGGTCCCCTTTATATGTTAATACGATTAAATTAAATGGTGACGTTAACTAAGGCATTGAGAAAACATTTTAATATTCCAACAAGAATCAATTTCCGAGAATCAATATTACAAAAAATATCTATGAGGCCTTAATAAACGCAGGAAAATTAATATATACAGAGGCTAATAATTCTGGGAAACGTGACTGAAAACGCACGCATAAAATGGTAAAAGATAAACTTTGTGAGATTGAGTGTGGTGCATGATCCAGTCATAGATAAAGAGAAGAAGGCGAAGATGAAAAAGAAAAAGAAGACGACAGGAGAATGATAAGGAAAAAAAAGAGAATATAGAAAATGAAGAAGAGAAAAAAGATTAGACCGAGACAGAGAAGGGGAATACAGGGGAAGAAGTAGGGAATGGACTAGACAAAATAGTCAAAGAAACTGATGCAAAAAGAAAGGAAGAAGAACAAACGGAACGACATATTTTGTGAATGCAACCACACACAATATGAGCCTAATAACGTGGAAATGGAGCTGTCATACTGATAACCTGATCACTTGAGGAACCAACTACAGAGTCGTCTGTAACGTTGCCGGATCTGATATCTTGGTGAAATGGCACATAGGAGTTGCTTGCAGGCGATAACATACTAATGACAACTAGCAGAGGTATTTCTTATACGACAAACCTGACATGAAGCTGGGTTGCTGGACGTTATCGTTGGACGTATTTTCTCTAGAAACGAATCCTGGTTGAGCAAACTGCTGCACTGTAATATAAGAAACATGGATATTAATTTACTGTGGGAGTGTGGGTGTATGCCTGCGTGCGTCCGTGTGAGAGAGTGTGTGTGTGTGTATGTGAGTGTGTGTGTGTGTGTGTGTGTGTGTGCGCGCGCGCGTACGCTTTAACAATTGTGTATTTCTAAACCTCTGATGCCAGCCTAAGAATCAGACCTTGCCAACCAAGTCGATTTTGTCTTCGAAATCGAGATATCAGACATTATTATCAAATGCGTATAGTTATGGCCAGTATACTTACCTTAGGACTGCAGCTGAATCTCAGGACAGAGCACACGCTGGAATACCCCCGTTTCCAGAAAATTCGATTGTGGTAACAAAACATGAAATATTATTTCATTCCGATCAGTAATAATTATATTCACATAGTTATCTTAAGTAAACACTGCGCCTGCTTGAGAGATAACTGACGTGCTAGACTAAAGTAAGGATGCACTACTCAGTGGTGCAATTCGTGAAACATGCAAAACTCAGGCCATTTCCAGTGGTTGTCAATACATTTTATCATTATAAATGTCTTAGGTGGCTGCTGCATGCAATACATTTGTGACGGTCAATAATTTTCAGACATAACATCACAGTATTTATCATCATTCTCATAGACATTGTGGCACCAGTAAATGCTGAGAATGTACTCCAACACTGTCAACTGTATGTTTCCATCAGAGACGCGATCTGGACTATTCCAATCGCAAAAGACAGAAGTTTATGGGGGACGAGGGGTATGGACTGCTCTACGATAGCTTTCATAACGGCTGCCGGTCTCCTGATAGTTTTATGACAGATAGATAGAAGAAGATTGACAAACATCGGTCTTCACATATTCGTTATCCGACTTTCACAATGAGTTTATCATAACGAATATAAATTGGACCTTGCATTCCACCTTCGTGAATACCATCAAATTATTTATCACATATTAAATTTTCTTATCAATCCAACTGTCTCGAGAGCACATTTAGCGAGTTTGAAATAGAGTTATTGCTACCACCCTTGGCTCCATGCTGCATACGCAACAGCGTAAATTTTACTTATGAACCAAAATGTCCGAGTACTTGTTGTCTGCTGATCGTGAAGCGTTAAAAGTTTGCCCCGTCATAGATGAATTCTCGTAAATGAAAAGACATTTTTTTTTTACTTTGGCAATTAAAAAAATTATAATAAAATAATGTTTATTTTATTGTTAGACTGTGTACGAACGTATGAAGTAACATATGTACAAATTTTACGTCAGTACGTACATACATACAAACATAAAAACATGTGTACGTACGTACATGTGTACAGACATGCATGGATACATGCATACATGCATACATACATACTTATTATTTGCATACATAATACATACATCTTATACAGACATAAACTACATATATAGACATATACCTACATACATTAGACATAATGCATACATACATACTACATACCTACTACATACATACATACATACATACATACATACATAATACATACATACATACATCATACCCTACATACATACATACATACATACATACATACATACATACATACATACATACATACAACCTACAGCCATACATACATACATACATACATACATACATACATACATACATACATACATACATACAGACATACAGCATACAATACATACATACATACTACATACATACATACATCCATACATACATACACATACATACATACATACATACATAACATACATACATACATACATACATACATACATACATACATAATACAGACATACATACATCACATACATACATACATACATACATACATACATACATACTACCACCTACATACATACATACATACATACATACATACAATACATACAACATACATACATACATACATACATACATACATACATACATCACATACATACATACATACATACATACATATACACATACATACATACGACCGATACATACATACATACCTATACATACATACATAACATACATACATACATCCATACTCCATACATACATACCTATATACCTACATACATACATACATACATACATACGACATACATACATACATACATACATACATACATACATCCTCTACATACATACATACATACATACATCATCATCCAACACATACATACATACTACATACATCATACACACATACATACATACATACCTACATACACATACCATACATACATACATCCATCTACATACATACATACACATACATACATACATACTTACATACATACATACATACAGACATACATACATACATACATACATACATACACATACATACATACCATACATCACATACATACATACAAACCAGCATACATACATACATACTACATACATACATATACATACAATAATACATACATACATACATACATACATACATACATCGCAACGACATACAGACATACATCATACATACATACATACAGACAACAACACATAATACATACATATACATACTACATATACATACATACATACATACTACATACATACATACATACATACATACATACATACAGACATCAAAACAGACATACATACATACATACATACATACATACTCAGACAGACAACCTACATACATACATACATACATACATACATACATACATACACAGACGTACAGACAGACATATACATACATACATACATACATACATATACCATACATACATACATACTACATAGCATACATACATACATACAGCC